CCCCCCCCCCCCCCCCCCGACTCTAGTGCTCCTACCTGACGCAAGACGGTCTCCTTCTTCAAGATGTCATTGAAAAACGGGACCCGCTGTATGAGCTGGTACGACACCATGCCCGCCAGGTGCGTGTACGGCCCTTCTCGTCCGACGTTGAGCCCCCCGCCCGCCGCCAGCATCAGACCGCACGCCTGCTCCCGCCCCCCGAGCCCCCACCATACAATACATCATTCAACCGGACAGCAGCGACATGGCGCGCGGTGCAATTAAAAACGCTTGAGAGAAGGCTTTCGCGAAACGGGGTTGATGACGGCAAAGCTAGCAAGAGTGACTCCACCACACAAGCTCCCGCAAGAAGAAGTGACTGCTGGGTGTGTGTACAGCTCCCAACACAACCCCGACAACGTTTACCAGGCTGCAAGGCCTGGCCTATTTCACAACGCTGTGGGTCAACATGGAGAGCGCCGGTTTGCAATAGGTCGAGTTGGAGTCCGCGCTTCTGCCAGGCTTTGTACCGGGAAACTCGGCGAGCACAAGTGGTCAACTACAGAATACCGAAGGCAAGGCGGGAGCGCCGAAAGTGAGACTCGACAACACCAACTGCTGAGGGCGGTGGCGCGTCGAACACACGCACGAGTAAAGCTGCTGCAGTGCTGCACTCACCTTGACCACGACAGCGACGAGGGTAAACGACCGGAGCTTCTTGGCCAGGTCGTCCGTGTCCATCATGTACTTCATCGCCTGCAGCCCACCCGCCCACCGCGTCAAGTGCCGTAGCAACCACACGCGCGAGAATAGCACGACGACGCGACATCCCGGACATAGAAGCCACGTCAGATGATCGCGGCGCGATCAGGGCATCCACACTCGAGTGTGTACGCTTACGATCTACTAGTGCAAGCAGAGCAATGGTGGTTCGAGCGGTACTGCACACGATTTCCTCCACCGCCCGCAGTGCTGTGCCAGGGAAGTGGTGCGAGAGCCCCAACACAACTGTTTTGCCGACTCCCACGCCGACAACCAAGGGCGAGCGTCGCCCATGAACACACGGCGACGCTGGCTTGGTCGTCCTCTCCGAAACGCTCCCTCGCAGCCCTCGGAGACTACTAAGCGACAGCACCCAGCAAGAATATACGCCCACTGAAACACAAAAAACGGTTCCACTCACAGCAAAGCAAGAGCATCAAACGATGACAACAAGCGCTCCCCTATCGAAAGGAAAAGCTTCCACACACAACAGCAAGATCACCCCGCAACAGACGCCCACCAAACACAACAAAGCGAAGGAAAACTATGCACGCTTTCCACACACAAGCTTACCGGGATGCCGGATCCCTCCACTCCCGGCGAAAAGTACGCCGTCAACATCGCCGCGATCCCCGTAAGAATGATGTCGTAAAGCAAAAAGCAAAAAAACTTCGCCCCGGTGCTGCCGCCCAGCAACGCCCCGCCCTTTTCCATTATATCCTCGCCCAAGTGCACAAAAATTCTGTCCGCGCGTTACAGTTTATTCGTTCAGCATAGGCCGGCGAGGGGAAGAAACAAACGGGAATGGGGGGGGGGTTACCCTTATGTTTTGCATGCCTTAGCAGTTAGACCATTGACCACGCGTCCTCGAGAGGACGGAGCATTATTCCCACAGGGGGGTGGAACTGTCATTGTATTGCTTCACTCGCTGCAGGCTCGTTAGCGGTGCAGTACCAGCCACTTCACTGCAAACTAGGAAGTACTTAAAAATGCGGGGCACTATGATAGTGTCAACAGGCACACGAGAACACGATCGGAGTAAGTGTCTCATCGTGCGAGACAGGAGGAGGACGACCGGACAATACTCCGGGGTAATACCATACGCGGAAGCACAACCGAAAAAAAAGTCCGCGGGAGGGAAAGGACGAGCGCTGTTTGCAAGCAGACACAGAATGGTGGCACCGCCAACAACAGCTTCACTCGAGCGGCCAGGCCAACCCCCGCTGGCTGAACGTAAAAAAACTCTTCGGACAACAGCAAGGGCACCCATGACGGGTATGGATCATTCAAGCGTCGAGCGCGACGGGATCAGTGCTGCCAGAAGAACCGACAGGCACAGGGGCATGGGCCTCTCCGGGTGCGTGCCTGGCACAGCAGTAAGCAGGCCACGAAAGGAGGGTGCTCAGCGAGCTACCCTGCACAATATTTGATTCGGATTCATCTTCTCCTCCGCGGGGTAGTGGGGGGATGCAACATACGGACGGAATGCAGAAAACACACTTCACGACTAAAAACTGTCACCGCCAGCTCGATCAACCGCGAACGAGCGGTGAATCCGAGCTCGTCAACCGCACCATGGCTCAAAATGCTACCGGTGTTCAACGAGCGTCAGGAACGATCGGGGCGTCACCTTCCTCGTGTCCAAACGTTATTCACGACTGCTGTACATCAGTAGCAACCATTGCTGACAAGTCCTTTTCGATCTTGCTTCTGTTCCATCCAGAAGCCCCGATCGGTACAAGCGTCGTCCATCTGAACCTTCCCTGCCGTACAAGTAAAACTATAGGTAAGCGTGTGTGCTTGGGAGCTTACTGTATGCCCTCGTCGATGCCGTGAGAGCCGAGGCCGATGACGACACCCATCACCACCAGGAAGAAGGAGATCTTGTGGTATTGCTTGTACAGCTCCTCGCTCTTGTAGGACGTCGTCACACCTCGCTTTTGGTCAGAGAAGTGTTTCCTGCGGAATTGAAAACGGCCAGCAAGAGGGAGAGAGCCAGACAGACAGGCAGGCAGACAGACAGAGAGCACATCAAAAGAATGACATACAGCCAGGAAGAACGTGGGTGTCGGGTGAGGCAGGAGGCGGGGGGACAACATCCTCGTCACTGACTAGAGCTGCAGCGAAATGCGTACAATGAAGAGGATACAAAAAGCGTCCCTGGCAAACATTTCACCACCGAAAAAAGCATCACTAATCGCAACACATCTCAGCGGACTCACGCTTCGTTCTGCAGCCGTGCGGATGGTCGTTTCATCGTTCCGCCGCTTGCGCCCCTGCCATCCTCACTAGCCCCCCTCCCGAGAGAGTTGATGTACGACGACGCCACCGACGCCGACGCCCCTCCCCTCGACCTGCCGCCTGCGGAGCTGCCTGGAGTTCCACACCGAGAGTTCGGGGTCCCCGAGCGCGACATGGTCTTCATTGTTTCGCTGCTCCCTCGGTGATGGTGGTGAGCTACACCGCCCGCCTCGAAGGCATCTAACGAGGTCGTGTCTC